TACATTTGCTCTAAGGTGCCTCCCACACTTGCTCATTTTGTAACCGAACAAAAGAAGAATAAATCAGTAAATTTTTTGTCAACTTTTTTTTGGTTTTGATTTAGGTTAAAATTCGAGCTATTTCCATAAAATAATATGGAAGGTAAGTTGTGTTTGGGCACGTCACTTATATATTCTTGATTGTTGACGCATGTTGAGCTCAACATCGATTTCATTTGTCAATATATAATAAGAAAAAGTTTTCACACGAGTGCGATAGCATGGAGTCGTTTTTCTAAAACACTTGAGATTCTGAGAGTGGACTGCAAAAAAGAAATGTTAAAATGCAACGGTATCTCAAATCAATCGTACATTGTCATGTAAGAAAGTTGAAATGTGGAACAATACGTGATTCTTATGACAAAGGCAGAAAGTAATTATCTTCGAGTTAGTGTGCCACCCCTAGGGTCACATCCAACTTGGTAGGCATGGCCATGGGAAGTCCAATTCATGCAGTATATTATCTTCAAGCATCCTCAAAATATAACCAGGAATATGGAGACCTAGTTTAGTATACTCACATTCTCAAATATGGGATTAGTGCATCGTTTTTATTCTTAGTTAGCGTCTAGAAGGTTGCAATTCATAATCTTAACCTAGAAGTTTACGAAAAAAGTTATCAAATAACCCAATCCAATCATTAGGTAACACCCTTCGTTACCCATACATTTTGATTCCATAATTGACCTTGCAAAAGATAGGATTCATATGAATCACGAGCAATTTAATTCAGGTTTCTAAAATCTGAATAAAATCCACCAAAGACCAAAGGATAGGATAGCAAAGATAGATCGCTCGCTTTTAAGAATTGACGTGTCCTCTAATTAATTCACACAGTCATTACTCATTAGTGATTAGTAGTGTTCAAACTTTTCAATTAAGGCGTTTTTACGAGATTGATCGTGGTGATTAAGGTTTTTGAGTGCTTTCTATCTGAAAAATATCAACCCATACAGGTGAAGATATTCAAAATTCTAAAGCCACGGCTATTTTTTGCTGGTTATGCCTGTCGATGGGAAATTGGGGATATGGAGTTGTAGATTCTCCTCATCCTTGAGATTGCCTCATCCTTCTTTTCCCTTCCTTTTGAAAATAGTCACTCGTATTTGAGGGAATAAAGATTGAAGGGGCACTGTCCAAGGTTTTTTTTTTTTAATTCACGGGGAATATTCATCATGTCTGGTGATCAAAATGTGGTGATTAGGTTCTCCAATATCCAATCATAGGTCAACACGCAAGCATTTTTTGCCACCTCGGATTGCATGGGACTTGTAATTCGTTCGCATGTCTGCATATGAGGACACCCTAGTTATGCTGCTACAAGAAATTTTTACGGTACTCGATCAATAAGAGTGATCGACATTGTTGATGTGTCTTATTTTAATATATATTATAAAAAGATAAATTTAAGTATTATCATTTGAATGAAATAATTAGACTACATAGCCATATTTTGAGTATATCAATATATTGGTATCTATAATCAGCATTGGTCAGAAAGGGAATGCAAATTATCTGATGTGTAATTTTCATTTGCATGAATCATTTACTTGAGAAATATTATTGTTCTGGATGAGGTTTATGATTGGGTTGCTAAAACCCTAGATATGCTTGTTTCTTCGTTTTTGATTATGCTGAACACAAAGTGGGAGGTCGGTAGCTGAGTCGCTGACACAGGTTGACCTTGAAAAAATGCTTTGGTTGATCAAAGAGTCTAATTAAACATGGGCTGCTTGAGAATTTGATCCAAACTCGACTATTAAGGTGTATAAAAGTGGAGTTAAAGTGCATGCGTTGAGAAATTAGTTTGATCCCATTCAGGCATTCTCCCATGCATGAACTTGAAACAAAAATAATATAATAATGATTAATGTTGTGAATTGTTGTGGTTATATAAGATATCCCTTTTTAACTCACTGCATTTTAGGTTTTTCTTCTCTTCTCTTTAATGTAGATTAGTATAAAATATCGTTTTTACTCAAAAATGATTAGTCATTTACGTTTGTCTCTGCTATACAATTCATGAAATGCTAAGCTGATTGACTTATAACATTAAACTAATATACCATAAAACGTCACCCAGGTTGACCTTGGAAAAATGCTTTGGTTGATCAAAAAGTCTAATTAAACATGGGCTGCTTGAGAATTTGATCCAAACTCGACTATTAAGGTGTATAAAAGTGGAATTAAGGTGCATGCCTTGAGAAATTAGTTTGATCCCATTCATGCATTTTCCCATGCATGAACTTGAAGCAAAAATAATGTAATAATGATTAATGTTGTGAATTGTTGTGGTGGTTATATAAGATATCCCTTTTTAACTCGCTGCATTTTGGGTTTTTCTTCTCTCCTCTTTAGTGTAGATTAGTATAAAATATCGCTTTTACTGAAAAATGATTAGTCATTTACGTTTGTCTCTGCCATACAATTCATGAAATGCTAAGCTGATTGACTTATAACATTAAACTAATATACCACAAAACGTGATTAGATTTAAAAAAAAATGGAAAAAATGGATAGTTGAATTCTCAAATTTTCCTAAATATTTTGTGACATACACCAATTCCCGGAAAAAGATTGTTGGTGCATTAAAAGAAAAACCCCTTAATTCGATTTACAGCAAACATGCATGCATGCCATATATGAACCCTAGAATGCTAACATGGGGCAGTTAAGCAACAGTCTCCCTAGACAAGAAAGCCTTAGGTTGAAACCATTTTTGTGGAATACCAGGTTATGGTTCTCCAGCTCATTCTGCATAACCAGCGTCTGTCCGCCGCGATGCTTATTCCAATTTGATTTGCTGAAATAAAGCTTTCAATTTTTTTAACAAAAAGAATGGTGGAACTTGTTGGTAGGCTAGCTATAAGATTTGGGAGCCTCACCTCCTTCGCTTTGTTTGAGATTGATTTCCAAACACGTGGCCGACATCCAACTGTAGAGGATCAAAGGTCACCTCACTATTGAGTTTACATATTCTTAATCAAACAAATATTTTAACTTAATTACTTCTTAATTAATTATTTCCTAATTCATCTATCCTATGAGTTTCACTACACAAATATTACAATATTTTATTAAAACTCGTTTGATAATCACTCCCGTTTTTAGTTTTTATATTTTTTGAAACAGAAAACCAAAATATAAAATTTATTTTATGAGTTTCTAAATTTGACTTGATATTTAATTCAATATTCCTTTTTGCAAATCTGAAAAGGAAATATAATATTAATATTCACCATAGAGATTAACTTTGACAAATATAGTTAGAGTTAATTAAGCAATTTGGACATGAATCTTCGAATGGCATTTCAAATTCAATTATTGCCAAAGGGCAAAAAGGAATCGAGAGAGAAGGTAAGACGAATTTTGCAATGGATGTGCACATTACTTTGGAGGTATTGATTCCAAGTGAAAAACATATTTAGCAGCATGGAAAAAGTTGTCTGGTATTTGGCCCTTTTTTAAACTGACCCACATCCTGCATGCAAACTTCCATCTAGGGAAGGTGTATTTGGTAGATTGAATGAGAATTAGACCTCTTGGCGTGTGACGTATATGTGAATGTAAACTTTTTTTAATTTATTATTATTATAGGGAGGAGGATGATTTGAAACTATTATAATAAATTAGGGAAGGGGTTTTCGGATCCTAACAAATGGGTGAAAACCCAACAACCTATCCACTAGTTGATTCCTTGTCAATTTCTCTTCGGAGTTGGCGTTACTCGTTGTCAAAGAGTGTCCTCATATTCATTATATTGTAGTTTTTGTTCGCTAAATTTCTCAAGTTCCAAAACGTCAAGTGTTTGTGGAGTTCATTTGGCTTTGAAGTGTCATCTCAATCTAAGTTTAGGTGTGGATGATTTCAAGACTTGGATGATTTTTTTTGCTTATTCTCGGGCATGTCTCGCTCTCAAATCCACCGATACGGTGACAACTAGTTTGGCCAAGTTGGTGTTTATCCAAAATGTCCTAGTTGAAGATTATTTGTAAAAAATTAATATAATTAGAGATGTTTTAGGCACAAATTCAGAATTCTATTGTTGTCCATTTATTTAATACATATTAATGAGTAATCAACGTCCGATTTAACATTAAAAGTAAAATATATTCCTGGGGCCTCTTTCTAACTTTCAATTTCAAATAGGAGCTTCCCCTCATACCACCTTCGTATCTAGAAGTTGTGGATATACTCGGGACATGGAGAATAAAAGTTCCAACTTCCAAGTGTGTAAGGGCTGGTTTGATATTACTGTGCTTTGAAAAAAAAATTACTTCTGTTGTACTATGAGAATAAGCTCATTTTTGCTGTTTCATGTTTTCAGTTTTTTTTCACCCAAAACTGTGAAAATAAGCTGTTTTTAAGTGGTTACCAAACATCTTTTTGAGCTCAGTTTTTTTTTTAGGAAAACTAATGAAAAGGGCTTGAAAACTTTGAGTTTTAATGATAAGGATAAAATAAAGGGTAAAGTGAATAAAACCAGGATTGACTTTTTCATGTAAAAATATGGTTTTTCGTTAAAGTCAACAGTACCGCGGACTTTTCGTTAAAACTCCCTTTTTTTTATACCTACTTTTTATAAAAACACATCAATACCAAACCAGTACTAAGTTTCCAATAATGCATCGAGAATAATGTAAAGATGGGGCAGGGGAAGGGGGTCACCCCCAGTAGAATTTGACTGGGAAAGTGATATGTGCCTGCACTCACCCAGTAGCTAGTTTTTCTCGACCTTTGGAAACCCACTTGCCACCCTTCCCTTAATTCTAAATCCCAACAGCAGAAGTAACTATCCAATACTTATATGAAAAAAAAAGCAATCTTAAGGAATCCCAATCACATGCATATTATTAAGGGAAAAACAAACCCATCTAAAGAAAGCTGGGAGAGAATAAAATAGGAACATCAATGGCCCCCAATCCAGAGTCTTACAGTCCACGCAGGAAGCCTAACTTCACCAACTACTATATAAATCTCCCTGCCCATTCAAATAAGATCACCAACTCATTTGACAAATCTTCTCTTCTTCTGGTGTTCCACAACAAGCTAGCACAAGCCAAGCACAGCTAGTACAGTTTACAGTTCATTTCTTCTGAGCTTCTACTTACCTTCAGGTGAGCTAAGATAGCGCTTCCTCCTGCTTTGGGTTCTGTAACTCACATCATTCCTTTTGTTTCAAACTCGTGTATATATAGAGTTTGCCTCTGTGCAAGACACACTGTCTCTGAAAAAGATATATCCGCCTTTGGGCAAGATATCTTGTCTTTAAGAAAGATAGGACTCGTTGAGGAAACCTCAAGCTCTTATCTGTTATAGAACATTGATACAAGGGAAAGGATCAAATAGACTATTAAATTCTTTCTCAAATGTACAATGTAGTTTCTCTACTAGATTTACATGGAAGGAAGCCTGCCTCTATGAGATTTCTAGAAGAACAAAATGAAAAATCTAGCTAAAGTGTTGGTTTGTAGCTAATATTATATGTATGCTAATTGTTAAATATGCAGGAGGGAATTAAGAATGAGCTGGACAGGAGGAGACTGGATGTGCGGAGCATGCCAGCATGCGAACTTTAAAAAGCGCGACGCTTGCCAACGTTGCGGGTACCCCAAGTATGGCGGACCTGATCCATCAACATATGGATGCAACCGGACAGAGGTCTTGGCTGGAGACTGGTATTGCAACTGTGGAGCTCATAACTATGCCAGCAGACCCAATTGCTATAGGTGCAGCTCAATGAAAAATGACTATGGTGGTGCTGCCTACAGCATGATGCCTTCTGCAGAAGGCTATGGTTCCGATGCCAGCGCCCCACCTGGATGGAAATCCGGCGACTGGATGTGCAATAGGTAATTAATGTTAAATGTCCCACATCGGTGGGTTCATAGAAACCCAATGGGTTTAAATATGATTACCTTACTCTAACTAATACCGAGATTTTTTGTGGTAAAACCCCACATTTGATGGATTGGGTAGGTGGTAAAGTTGGGGATAGTGTTGTTAGAGTGAGGCAAACCCGGTGATCTAAAAATTCAACATGGTATTAGGGGCCACGATTCGGGCCCGTGCAAGCCAATGAGCTTCTAACCCAGAAGGAAACAAGTCTGAACTCTTGTTAGAGAGACAACAACTTTTTTCCATTAAAAACAAGTGGGCCCAATGTGAGTCGACCTCTGACAGATTGGGTTTTTTGTGGTAAAACCCCATACCTAATGGATTGGGCATGTAATAAAGTTGGGGACAGTAACGGTATTATTAGAGTGAGACGGCCCTGACGATTGATCGAAAAATTCAACAATTAATTAGCCCACAGACACTCTCTAAAACCCTAAATTGCCAGCATTGTTTATAGAAACATCACATTTAACTAAGAAATGTGTGCTACTAGCTAGTACTTGTGAAGATGTGGAACATTTGTTCATATCCTCACATGTCCCCTAACGTATAGCAAATTTACGGTGAAATCTCAACTTCTTTAGTAATGTCATTTTCTTTAATTAGTTTGCTAATTTGAGTGTATTTTTGAATTGGATCAGAGTTGGATGTGGAGTGCACAATTACGCCAGCCGAATGGAATGCTTCAAATGCAAAACACCTAAGGATTATGGTAATAAGTTTGAATTAAACTTCAAAATTACCTTTTATATGTTAATTTATGTGCACAACTAAAAGGGGCTCAGCATCTAATTTGCAAATGTTTATTACTTGGTTGCAGGTCTGTAACACATGATGTACTTGATCAGGTGGTGCTGTTTAAGGAAATGGAGCATGTAGTTTTATGCACCGTCCCTTTTCGCATTTGCGCGCATCTGATCCCATCTCAAGTCTTGTATTTTTTTCCCCAAATTTTCCTTTCTAGAGATAAATAAAGTTAGGTGATCCTGGTTGAAGGCACATTTTCACAGGGATAGCCTTCAACTGACAACTGTATTAGAGGAAGGGTTTTCTAGTTTTCTGTCGCAAAGTTGCTATTCTATGAAGCCCAGAAAATCCCTTCTTTTAATGGAACTACCAAGTTTTCTGTATCAACTCTCTCTCTCTCTCTCTCTCTCTCTCTCTCTCACATATTGTGTGTGTGTGTGTGTGGGGAACATATAGAATTGAGAACACAATACTACTTTTTGTAAGATGGTCCAACATTGACAGTGGGCCAGTGGCTGCAAAGATCAACAGAAAAATGGAAGTCTTAATTAGGGTTTCAACAGAAAAGAAAATAGAGGAGAAACAAAGAAAGTTAACAAATATTTATGGAGTTGATACAGAAAACTTGGTTTGTAGAGAGATTTTAATGGATTTATAAATCGATGGATTTTTATGGAGTTTAATTGATTTGTAGAGATTTCATATAAAATTTTAATTCAATTCTCTCGAAATCTCTTTTGGATAGGTAAGATTTGTGAATGCTTAAATACACTACAAAATCCCATCAAATTCCCTCTAATTCCTTAACTTTTTGAAATTCTTTAAAATCAAATTTTAATTAAATACACCTGAAATGTTATAAACTTTTTTAAAATCCTAATTGAATACACTCAAATTTCTAAGGATTTTAATAAACTATCTTAAAATCCTGATTGAATACACATTGAATTTTAAACAATCACTTAAAATCCTAATTGAATACCTTAGATTCATTAAAAGAATTAAAATCTCTCAAAATTCCAATTGAATACACCCGTTTAGATTCAACGAATTTCTTTGAGTTGATCACTTTATATAACAAGGCCTTCTCTCACTGCAATAATTTATGAACCCTTTAAGCATCAAATATCCAGCGAAACCAATAATTATGCAGATAAGAACCAGATGCTCTGATTCATAAAGCATAGATGCAATGCAATATGGAAGTTCAAAGTTAGTCAAATTCAACTTTTCCTTGGACAAAAAACTTTTGCATTTCATTTGATAGCAAAGCAAAGCACACAAATTTATAATCTCTCAAGGCCTCACCATCATGCGCAATAGCTAGAAAGACATTTGATTCCATCTTATGCATGCTTGCCCCTCCCTATTGCTAAATTGGATAAAAGTTTTCAACTTCCAATTGGCCCTCAAAAACTTCATGAGCATGCATAGGTTCCCTTTTATTGACTTTAAATTAGTGCTCAGGTTTGGGGGCTTCCTTGGCATTGTCACGTGTTTTATCTTTTTCACATGTATGAAAGTGCATGATTGTCTTGATATACTGCAATATATGACATCTCTATACAATGCAGCTTTATGGTTTGCTCTACATGCTCCATTGTTTGGCTTTTATAAAATATTCTGGGTTTACTCTATCTAACTCGACGCCTTTATGTTCTTATGCTTGGCATATTACTCTTAAAGCAAAAGGGTCCAGTTTGGTGAATTAGTTCCCCCAGCACATAACGCAGACTTCAAATTACTTTTAGGTTTTTTCCCTTACTGTTTTGGTATTTTATTCCAGGAAAAGGGTTCCAAGCTGAATATCATATATATCATCAAAGTTAGAATCCAAGATTCTGAACTCATTATGTTTGGCTTCCTCCGTCTTCTCCTATCCATATATACAAGTCCACACACACTGGCGGATGCATTGTGGGGGCCCCGCAGGGGGGGGGTGGTCGGCTGACCCCTTGAATTTTGGTAAACGTTCATGGATACCTTGGGTGCTAACCCTCCGAACTTCGGTGAATGTTCATGGATACCTTGGATGCTGCCCTTTTAAAGATAAGAGTTGGCTTCATACATGCCCTCCAACATCATCATTTTTGGACAAACATATTAATGGTATGCAATGATATCAAACATTATTAGTATGTTCAAGATAAGTTTGTTTCTTTGTTAAGCATTCATATGAGAGCAACCTTGGAACATGTTAGTTACCCTCGCAAATGAAGCATTAACAGATGTGCAGTGCCTTTTCAAATAACTTCAAGCCTACTAAGACTCGATAAAATGACGATATGCATGTTATTTCTGATAAAAAAAAATTTGCACGTGCAACCTGGATCCGCCACTGTCCACACATAAAATATGACCCCAAACAATACATGCATTCAAGAAGGATTACTGAAATCCATCTTTGCGTAATATTGAAATTCATCGCTATCATGTGTCTCGTCATCCAATCAGGGATCGATGAGAACAACTTAGAGAACCTTTTCACAAAGTTGCATGGAACGGGTGTCTCCCATGAGCCATGTGCTAGCTGCTCACTTGATGTAGTAATTAGTAAATGTAAGACGTATGTTTCATGAAACAAGTGCATGAAAGTTTTTCTTGTTGTATCCTGATCAAAACAAACACGACAACAAACAAAGATGATATAGCCGATTCATACATGTTCGAAGATTTCAGCCATGTTTCACCAAAAAATAATATTAGAGCCATATTAGAGTTGCATGGGCAAATAAACTACACGTAGTTGACATCTTATTTTAGGAGTTGGATTCCCTCATCTCCTTTTTTCCTTCCCCTCCTCTCTTAATTTCCTCTTCTTCTTTCTCTCTTTACAAAGAAGATAAAAAAGATAATGATGTGGCTTATTCTTGAGTGTTCAAATAAGAGAAGAGGGAGAGGAAAATGGAAGGAGAGAATTCCTACCCCTTATTTTATGAGTCACCTTTCGCCACCACATTGTTACAATTATTGATCAACCGTGATGTGATAGCCAAAGAAATGTTGCATTAACCTTCAGGCTTTTGCTGCAAATCCAAGCTTGTAATTTCATATGAGGTTTTGACTCGTAGTGAGTCGAGTGGGCTGAAACTCCATGCTATTTTCTTGAATTATTTTTTCTCTAGTTTAAAGCCTCATTACAACTCAAATTAGACCTTAATTTAAAATACCTAAAATATAAAAGGAATGACTACTACGTATAAAATGCAACTAAAATATGCAACGTATGTACGTAGTACATATTATTTTGGTCCAAGGTAATGAAAATTTCTCAAAAAAAGTGCATAAAATTGTAAATGTGGGATTATAAGTCAGTCAATCATGATAGATTGTCTGTCTCTAACACCTGAATCCAAAACCCCATTTTCGTAGGGTGCAGTTTTATAATATTAGAATACTAAAAAAAAAGTACAGAGCATATAAAAGCCAACAACGATTTTTATTTTTATTGTTTTTTAAAGTACTTATAGAGAAAATAATTTTGAAATCAATTCTCAATAAAAATGTAAATTAATCATGTAAAAACACATAATTGATGTTTCTTACATAAAGTGTTTTTGAAACTAAAAAATATTCTCTAAAAGCGCTTTCAAAAGCACTTCCCAAACATTCTTGAAAATTTGTTAAAATGATCAAACTTCAAATTTTAATTGCTAAGTTCATCCAAATAAATATTAACCACATCATGATTTAAAATTGATAACATACTGATCAAATATTGACGATATAGCGGTTAAACTCTATTTTAGCTAATTTCCCTTTACTAAAAAGAACATAATAGATGAAGAGGAAACACTACATTCATGCATTCGTTGTGCTAAATGCATTGTGGTTATTGCCCTACTAAGTTAGTAGCTCACCCCTTATGGATTATTTGACAGGTGTTGAATTAGAGATCTGAAAAATTAGTCGACTTTCATAGAAAGTATAGAAGGATTTTGGAATGTATGTTAGGGTGTGACTGTATTATTGTGAAACGTTCTAATATAAATTAAGTGATTTTTTAAGTTTTTTAATTTTAATTTTTTTTCTTATCATTTTCTACTTTTATTCGCGTATTTGACGTAAACCATTTTATCCACCGATTTCGGGTCCATAGCGTAAAGAATAGTAATTTTCAAGAAAAATAAAAGGAAAAAGAAAGAGAAAGTGGAAACATAGGAAGACACACGTGGAAAGCCAAAGATGGATGGCCCACAAAACTAGTCCCCGCTGACGTAACCACCTCTCCTCAGTGACGTGCATTTACCAAAGGTTAAACGAAACTTTACTGCGACGTAATTACCCCTCAGTTTTTTACCCCAAGATCGCAGGGTTTTGGGACGCGTTTAGGGGTTTAAGCTTTAAGGGCTTCTCTCACACGACTCCTCGCCCACTCAGAAGTCGTGGGTGGGACTCAGAGAGTCGGTAGTGGCATCGATTTTCGTTTTCAAATTAGGGTTTCTTTGGCGGCTAGGGTTTGATCTTCTCTGCAAATCATATTGCTTCCAGGTTTTCTTCTTTCCCTGTCCCTTGATACAAATATCTCAAGAGTTCTTGAACTCCGTCACTTCCCTCCAAATTTCCAACCCCAAGTTGGTGTTTTAGCCCCAATTCTCATCTGGGTGTCTTGATCAAATTTGGTACTCCAAGCTGTGAACTTTGATCATCCCTCTCATCAGAATCAGTCAAAGATTGGTGGGTTTGTGAAGAAATTTTGGATTCTGCACAGGTTTTGTTATTTGGGTTTTCTTGAATTAGACTCTGCTCGTTGATTGATTGTTATCTGTTACAGTTCTTTGATTCTTGCTTGCTACCATACATTGAATTTGTTTAAGATTTGTTGGGGGATTTGAAAGTTTTGATCTTTATTTGACTGATTTACAGAGGAAAGTTTAGGTTATAGAGTAGTTTTCTGAGGTATGGATTTTTTTGATCACTCACAATTTATGCCGCCGCAAACGCCTTACAATGGCGGTGGCAGTGACGCGGTTAATTGCTGGCCGCCTGCATTTTCTGAGAACAATGATGACCAGCATTCTCAGTTTGAGCAGCAACCTTTTAAACGGGCTAGGAATTCTGAAGAAAGCCAATCAAATCCGATGCCATACCCTCCCATGAATATCAGGGTGCAGCAGCCTAATGCGCCGGTTAACAAGGGTGCGAGCAACATTTTCTATAAGACCCGTTTGTGTGTAAATTTTAAATCCGGTATGTGTAGGAATGGTGAGAATTGTAACTATGCACATGGCATTGAAGATATCCGCCATCCCCCGCCCAATTGGCAAGAACTTGTTTCTGTGCGTGAAGAAGATCGACCATTGCCTGGTAATTGGGATGATGATCAGAAAATAATCCACAGGATGAAGCTGTGCAAAAAGTTTTATAACGGGGAGGAGTGTCCTTATGGAGATAGATGTAACTTTCTTCATGAAGATCCGGCAAAGTTTAGGGACGATTCGGGTAGGTTTAGGGAGAACACAGCAATAAGCATTGGAACTACAGGGCCACCAGTGCCTCATGGGAGTGGCTCCAATCAGCCTGAGGAAAATAGGCTTGTAAACGCGGGTATGGATGCTTTGCGGGGAAATGTGAAGCCAGTGTATTGGAAGACAAAGTTATGTAATAAATGGGAGACAACGGGTAAATGCCCCTTCGGCGAGAAGTGTCACTTTGCTCACGGGCTAACAGGTAATTCTCAGTCCTCGTGCTAAGCATGTTAAGTTTACATTATCACTATGCTTGCTGCTCTGCTTAGTATGGTCAATTTTAAATGTTAGGCTAACAACCGTATTTAGAACTGAATCAGTGTGAGCTTGTGCAATAGGAGTACTGGCATTTTGTTTTAGTTTGTGGATTTGATTAGTGGACCAATGTTGCTATTACTTAAAGTACGTATGTTTGTTGAACGACACATAAGCCGACTGGCAATGTTGTAATATATAGATTGAGATTATTTTGGATGCAGGGTAACAGATGTTTCGTGTAACAAAGGTACTTTGTAATTAGATGTTTCTATGGATGTGTAGCGTTTATTTGTTTTATGCGATTGGCATGTCATTAGATGATTAGGGATTTTTTTTAAGAATACTTGTGTATCGAGTTTGTAAATGTTAAAGAACGTGAATAAAGAGAAGGTTAAGAAAATGTGGGAACTGCCCTTTTGTTGGTAATATTGGTTTTCTAATATTGAAGTTTTAATTTCAGAGTTGCAAGCTCCCGGTGGACGCACCATTGAGGCAGAATTTCTAAGTCCCCTTCCCTTTCCAACACCCCAAGTTGTTTCCGCTGTTAACTCATCTGCAACTGCAATAGCCGCACTGCCTGCTTTAAATGAAGAAGGGGGGCAGAAGAAGAAGGGCATGCTAAAATGGAAAGGGTCCAAGAAGATCAATCGCATATACGCTGACTGGCTTGATGATGTCCCGCTGGTGCACCAGCACAACTTAGTGGAGAGCTAAATTTGAGTTCAAGCTCTTATCTCGGCGCCATTTTTGAGTTGGTTCAAAAAATCCAGAGTGCTGTCGAGTTTCAAAAGTTTTGCTCTTGAGGATGATTTGGTTTACAGAGTTTGATCATTGTTTGTTTGTCAGGTCTATGGGTTCTGTTCTTGTTATTTATAGTATTGGTTCCTCTATCCTCAGTAGAGATTGTTGTAATAATGTCGCAAAACTTGCTGTTAATTTTTTAAAAGATCAAATAAGAGCGCTTGATTGTAGATGTGATTGCTACTTAACTCCCCCACTTTGTATCAAAAAAATATAAAGGCGACTCAAACTCGACTACCTCTCGCGCTTACTTAACTCGTATCTACAAAAGAATTAACTTGGCTCCTTAAGATTGTGGAGGAGTTTCTTCTCAAGATATCTTGTGACTAATTCACGGAACTTTGCGCTTATGATTAAAATCATTGATATTTTAAATTACTCTATAAAGAAAAAAAATGATCTTTGCAAAAAAAAAAAAAAAATCAATTAAAAATAAGACAATTAAGCCAATCAATTGTAGCAAATAGATAGACAGTTCGTAATTCTTTTATCGAATTCGTGCATCTATTTTTATAAAGTTGAATGACTAAACGATCTCATATTTTATTAATTTTTTGTAAAAATGATCTTATAATGATTTATAGTATGAACGTTTTCGGTCATAGTCTCAAAATTCTGTAAATCGGTCATGAAATATAAAAAAGAACTCTATTTCTGAGAAGGCCCGAAGCAGAGTCCAGTCCAAATATTGAAGGCTCCCGTTAACCACTTGGGCTTTCTGTAACTTCTCATTGTGTGTGGCCTTATCTGACGGCACGGGGCACCGGCAGCTCGGCAGCTGTGCGTCTCAATCAGTGACAGTTGTCGTCACTCCAGCCTCCTAGTCACCACCTACCTCCGTTCGCTTTCCCTCTCTCTCCTCAAAAACCGCCACCACCCAATGGAAGCATGGTCAAGTTCTCTCTCCTCTCTTCTTCCACTCACCTCCTTTCTTTCTGTAGAAAATCCACTCTCCGCACCCTGTACAGAAGAGCTCTTTGTTCCGCCTCCACCGCCGCCGCCGACACGATGTCCATAAACCTCCAGTCCCACGCCTTCGCCGGCAATCCCCTGCTATCCAAGACCCCAAGTCCCAGCGACCCTTTTTCACCATCCCAAGCGCTCGAGACCCTCAAGACCCAACTTTTGGAAAGTGCCCAATTGCCCTCTTCCCTCAGCTTCAAGGTTCTGCCTTTCAGAAAGGGCAGGCCTTTAGCCTCCTCCGGCTGTGGGGCCGGCGATTCGGCGCCAAATTGGCATCTGGGTTGGATCAGTTTGTCTGAGTGTAAAGGTTTCCTGGCCAATTGTGGGGTCCAGCTGAGTGGAGAATCGCTGGTGTATCTGGGTTCCCGGCCCGAAGACGACCTCGTTTATTGGGCAATTGATGTTTCCGCTGATAGTCAGAGTAGCCTGGTTGCTGAATTGGGTAGCAAGCAATTGTGTTTTGTTGAGCTGAGGACGCTTATGGTGGCTACTGATTGGGCTGATGCCAGGGCTATGAGGGAGTTGGCTATTGCTGGACATGTAAGTGCTTCTGCCCAAAGCACTTACTGCTTTGCTATGTGTAATATTCTAAAATTGACATGTTAGTGAGATCAAGTTCCTTGAATTGCAATGCGAATGCCTTTGGTGTGTTTAATGAATGAAGCAATTGAGTTTTTGAACTTTTTTCGTATTGGCGCGCAATAGTTGTGTGATGATCTCAGTCGTTTTCCTAAATAGTTACGAATTGTTGTATGCTTTTGGTGTGTGATCAGGCCAGGGCTTTGCTAGAATGGCATAGTATATCACAATTTTGTGGACATTGTGGAGAAAAAACAGTTCCCAAGGAAGCTGGGAGGCGGAAGCAATGTTCAAGTGAGCTGTGCAGAAAGCGGGTCTACCCTCGTGTTGATCCGGTATGATTATGCTTTATCAGTTTGCATTTCAAGTTGGTGCTTTTCTCTTGTATAGCTCATATTGTGTCATTTCAACAGGTTGTCATAATGTTAGTCATTGATAGAGAGAACGACCGTGCTCTATTAAGTAGACAATCTCGATTTGTACCTCGAATGTGGAGTTGCTTAGCTGGTTTTATAGAGGTAACTCTATGGAATATGTCAGACACTGCTAACTGTGTATAGTAGTCGGTATTAGTATTTATACTCCTTTTCGGGGGGTTGTGTAACAGTTTCATTAGTTTGATCCTTTTCTCGTCCTTAGCCAGGGGAAAGCTTAGAAGAAGCAGTGAGGAGAGAAACATGGGAAGAGACTGGTATTGAAGTAGGAGAAGTTGTCTATCATAGCTCTCAGCCATGGCCTGGTATGAATGTTGCGAAGTTTGTGTTCTGTTTCACTACAGATAATTGCACACACTATATGGGTTTCTTTCTTTGTTTCCAATAGATTGATTGAGTTCCAATTTTGATTTGTTTCCAGTTGGACCAAATAGCATGCCATGTCAGTTGATGGTCGGGTTCTTTGCATACGCAAAATCACTGGAAATAAATGTGGACAAGGAAGAGTTGGAAGGTACACAGGAAATTAGCTTGTCGTTGCAGTTTTAACTAAACTGCGTTTGCCGTTTCTTCATAATGAATTTGACTTCCTCAGGCAGCTTTGTGCTCTGTTTTGGAATTTATTTTTTGTATGAAAAGTAATAGAACTCGGTACAAATATTATATTTTCTGAATACAAGCTGCATTGTACTCATCCGATGAAATGGACTGCTGATTTTCTTCTTTGAAATTTTGTCCAACCAGATGCTCAGTGGCACAGTAGAGAAGATGTAAAGAGAGCTTTGGCATTTGCTGAATACAAGAAGGCGCAGACAACAGCGGCGTCAAAGGTGGAACAGATGTGCAAAGGAGTTGAGAAAGGGCAGAACTTCTCTGCCGACTTCAATGTTGAAAGTGGTGAACTCGCACCCATGTTTATACCCGGGCCATTCGCAATCGCCCATCACCTCATCTCTTCTTGGGTTTATCAGGATGCAACAGATGGTGTCACAGCACGTCTAAAACAAACTAGCGGTTCCACTTCGAATTTGTAGCTCGGTTCAATTCATTTCATCCGTAATCCAAATTACTGGACTACTTACCTTTGGATAATAAAATAAGCTTGGATATATGTTGATTTGGATGTCATATGGTTATGGATGTTTAAATGTTTTTTCTTCTTCGAGATTCACATAATTCAATCGTTGTTAAAGTGTATTGTTTAACTTCTGCCTGATGACATTTTGGTTGTCTACTTGTAACTCATAAATCTGTGTATATATTTCAAACCAGAAGTTGATTTTACAAGAAGTTTCAATTGAGTTGATTTAAAGATTTGCTAATATCTTCAGAAACGAAGAGAAATATGGCAATGACACGAAGATTTTGTACATTTTATTTAGCCATGTTGCTACGATCTCTTATCCACTTTTGCCCGTAGCCTTTGCCCATTTTATTGTCGACCTAGCCAAAGCGTCCATGGGGTCGATACATTTCTTAAGAAGAGGGTCGTCCGGAGGCAGAACGCCCTGCAACTCGTCCGAAGCAATGATCACGGTGTTCACCGCCCTCACCAGCAGGACCTGGATTGCAATGCTTAACAGGTTTCGTGCCCCCTCCATGTCCCGTCTTTTTATCGCTTCAATTGTGGGAATCACCACATGCTCCATGGTTTGCTTGTCAGGTACCACAACATCAAACCCCTGTCCATTGCCATTGCACCGAAATATGTTTTCCGCGGCGACTTAAAATGTAAGTAGAGTTTTCGAAGAAAATCGGAATTGGTATCTTCATGGTTCACATAGTTTGATAAATAAGCAAGAAAAACAAAATTAGGTTGAATGTGTACCTGACTTTGTAGCTTTTCTTGGTAAAAACCAGCCATTAAAGTTGCATCCGCAGCAAGCACTCCAATCCTTACATTACTTCCTTTTTCCAGTGGCTTCAAATTTGCTTCCCTGAGCTCCCGGGCAACACACTCACCGATATGAAGGAAGCAAAGAGAACAGTCCTCAGATATCTGGTCGTGCCACGCATGAGACAGATGACACGGCATGACTATGCATTGAGCGCCAGAGTGCTCGAGGAATGCTCTCTTGAGACACAAGCTCTCGATGACCGGCCTGTTATTTGATAGGATTTGAGCACTACTAGTACTTCTTCTTGTGAGTGAATGCAACAAACTGCGAATCGGAAGCTCCTTATACAACGTTGGATCGCTGCACACGATGAAGGGCGGGCATTCTCCTCCATCTTTTAGACTCCACCACACAAGCTTCTCCAAGAAAAGGAGGCTTGAATAAACAGACACCCCTCCAATGATGCCGATAGTGTTTGGTTGGCTCAGTACGTGGCATCTTGTTAGAGGTAAGCCCGAATTCCGAACTTTCTTCGATTGAGGTAGATTTCCGCTCTCATTGGTTTGCAGGACTGAAGATACTTGCACTGCAGCTACAAAAGAGCTTGATTTGGTTCTGTATTGTGTCCTAGTTTTGGTCAAAAGTCCGAAAAGAAGAGGTGGACGGTTTTGTGTGTGGAAGGATATTGTCATGCCTGCATCAACCATCCCCGTTGCTATGTGATCAACTACTTAGAACCCTAATATTTTGGCTACTTAGAACCCTATTTGACCACCAGATACCGGTTTCTTGTATCGAATCAGCCTTTGAAAACTAGAAAATCTCATTACTCTCTCTACTTCACCCCTCAAAGTTCAAACTTTCAGTATGAGGTTGTGATCATACCAACTTACGCACACATGATTCCATCAAAACCGCGAAGTTAAGCGGGTTTAGGGGAGAGCAATACTAGCATCAAAGGATGGATGACCGTCTGAAGTCTCCGTGTTAAAGATGAATCCCTCTTGGAATCCAGACCCCAGATCGCAAAAGCTACTCCAAACCAGTCTTTGGCTCAGAAGTTTGGTGATGCAAGTAGAAAGCAGAAAAAGACACGATCCCGGAACATTTTGCAGGGTTTTATATAAGCAAACAAAGAAAACACATTCAATATGGAATCTACACAATTCCTGTCCTATCAGGTTTTGCCATGGCAGCGTTGTCAGCCGTTGAAATATAAAATTAATAAATGTAATTAAAAACAAAATAAATGACTTTTATTGCTAAAATATCTGCGAATATCTGCGACTTTAATTGCCTTTATCCTGCTGTGACAAATCTGATAGGGATTGCAGTCTGTCAGTATTTTAGGATAAAAAATTATTGACACACTGAGATCATTTCCACGTCTCATTGTTCGGAACCTAAAAATTAAGAAATTCTAATCACAAAAATTAAATAAGACGGTCTTTAGTAAATCATTTTATTAGCCCACTTCACATAAGCGGTCCGATCTTTATTAAAAGGTTTAAATTTTCTAGATCTTAAACCATCTCCAACTGATTCGGCCATAGGACTAGAGAGCCGAAAGTTTTCCTGTTTGGTTGCTGTGAAAATGGAAGAATTTGACTAGCCTGAGAACAGTAAAGCACAAAACTTGAGGCTGGATTTTCTCGGAAGCCAAACAGAAAAACCCCAAAAACTGAGAAGTTGAAGCTTTTTGCAAAGAACGCAAGGGCTCAACAGTGAAAGCTTTGCAAAGAACACGGATTCTTCCCTTTTTTGGAAGGAAGGAAGGAGAAGAACACGGATTTTCCAATTTGGGTTTTTGATAATTGATATTTCGGAAGTCCGTATGAAGAAGAAAGAGTGAATCTCTCTAACAGTCACAGTCACAGTCACATCCAATTGTTATTTTAAAATATAATAATTTTTTTCTTAAATAATAAAATACTGGTTTTACTGTGACACTGTTCAGACTTCAGAGACTACATTATTGGTGCCAGAATTGAATTTCTTCTGTCTATTAAATTGTTTTTCCTCTAAAATGAGGAATTCGGATTCTCTTTATAAGGATTTCAGAAATCAGTTAATCGTGTCTATTTATCTTATATCGTACAGTTATAAATTATTTTAAATATTTTTATTTAAAAGTAAACACAAATAGTACATAATAAAAATTGACCGCACGTATCTTTCGAAATCCTATTTGAAAAACTATTGAGTTTACATTTTGAACAGTTATTGAGATAGTTTAATTTAAGGAATCATATTAATTCAATTAAAATAATAAATTATGTTTGGCATGTGGCTCTTTGGTCCTCTCGGTTGGAAATGGTTTTTTGTCATAGGACTGTGTTTGGCCTACGGCCCTTTGGCCACGGTTAGAGATGGTAAAAAATATAACATGTCAATATTTATTAAAATATTAATTTCTTGAATGATTATAAGATTAAAACGAACCTCCTGACTCTTCTTTAGTTGAATATGGCTTAGGCTCCAAGGAGTTGGATCTAAAAAGCATCTCATCTCAGTTGCTTGTGAAACGTAACAAGTGAGTGTTGCTTGTGAAAAGTAATGAGTGGCTGTTTGTGTTTTGGTGTGAACATCCCATGATTGTGAGTGCTCAACCAACTAATTTGGTGAATATAAATATTGATTAATCCTAGAATACACCTGGAATTCAGTAAGTGTTAAATCCAAAAACATTTGTACTGTTATTGTCACTTTGAGAAGTCATTAATGCAACTTCGAACTTTTATTTTTAACCTGAGATAATCCTTGAAAGTGTCTAGCCAACGAGAGTTGATTGAACTGGTAAAGATCGTTTTTTTTTAAACCATGATCTAGATTGGAGTTTCGCTGCGGACAATCTCTCTTAATGAGCGATCTGAAAAAATCAAAGAATAAGCTAAGACCCTTCTGTAAGTCTTCAAAAAAGCTTGTGATATACTCTGACCCTAAAATGAGATAGCCTCCCCTTCTCTTGACCTTTTTATCAAAAAAAACGTAGCCTAATCCAGTAAAAAGGCATGATTGTTGTAGTGTCAATCTTGAATATATTTTGCAACAACAAAAAGGGGGTTGCTATTTGTATTTGCATAAGTCAAAAACTATTATTAGTCCTTCAAAATTTATTTTACAATTTAAAATACAATTTTCTAACTGTAAATAAGTACATAATAACTTTTTTGAAGACGAGAAACTACTATACTTCCTTAAACAACAATAAGTCATTGTTCAATGCATCAACGGGGGATCCATACATCACACATGTACAACAATATTCGATCAAAACCATTTGGTGATCGTCCTCGGAAAAGGATTCTTGCCGGATCCTTTTCCTAAGAATTCTAGGGATCTCGTGATCGTAACCGTTCATTGTACATCGTGCGATCAGTTTTCGTTAGGTACTATTCATATTTAATTTTAAATTTTGAAATGATTTCTGACCGCTGATATACGATGAACGATCACGGGATCCTTAGGATCCCCTAGAAAAGGATTTGGCGAGGATCATTTTCCATCGTCCTCTATTATTTGAAGATTGATCGTGACTAACATAGTGACAAGTAGAAGTGTCTCATTCCTACTCCATTTTTTTAAGTGTTAACCTCTTACGTATTTTTTAAATAAGAATGAAATTGTTATTGACACGAAAACTCATTTTGATTTTGGAAATGTGATTTGATCGAGCTTTTGTTTTTTGTCAATGAGTAGTGCATGGTGATTTTTTTGAAACGAGGAACCCAAATAATTCCGAGACAAGAGGCACTCGCTTCAGTAAGGTCAAGGACACTTAATGAGACTTGATGAAATTTTTGTGATAATTGTGTGAGGCTACTGGTTTCGCTTTGACGCTAAAAGGGATAGATAACTAAAAATCTCGCTTAGAGATCACAATGATAATTAGAGTAGAAGTTCACATCCTTCGTTTTACCAAAAGGCATTGTTCAATGCATCGACACATCGCACACATGTACAACAAAATTGGATTAAAACCAACAGGTATCGATACGTAGAACAATATTGGATTGAAAGCATTGGTGATTTGGTGATCGTAGTCAATTATTTAAGAACTTTTATTCTTCTGGCTAAACAAAAAAACAAAGAGCCAAATAGGAATGTCTTTTTCCAAGTTCATTCAAGGTATAATATTCGTAAATATGTTGTACATTTTGTTTCTATGTTTCCATGACCAATCAGAGTGACATACGTGGTAAATGATGATCATAGAGGTTGAGACCGATATATGTATATAGTTCGTACATAAGTATAAATATTTGTAGCTTATGTTATCCTTAGGTTAGTTTGATCTTAACGTTAGTGAAGTTCATATTTCATCAGCTACCAAGGATGATTCTAAGCCAACAAGGCTTTCTGTTTTGCTAGAGTCGAAGAGGGGTTGGAGAAACGTTTATCATACGCAACCTTACCCTGGCTTTGCAACGAGGTTATTTCTATGACTTTAACCTGTAACCTATACAACATAATTATACCACATATGAACACAACAACTGTGCATGTTTATCACAAAGTGTGTAGACATATAACTCCTTCTATATAATATAGAAATTAATTTTTTGATCACTAGAACTATGTACCTAATTGACACCTATTGTATTTGTTTATTATATTAAATGAAATACCACTCTATCGCTATTGGTAAAATATCCATATATATATATATATATATAAGCTTATAACAATACATGTTTAAGTAGGAAACCTATACTAAGAACAACATATCAATTACATAATATATTAGGAAACAGTTACTACAGAGAAGATTCCAGAGTCATCAAACAAAATGCATCAATGCAATTAAAAGTAGGGACTATTATTATATATTGTATTTTGTTTTGTCAATATGTCGGTGTCGTAGTTTTTGCCTTCTTCAATAGTAAGTTGATGGTAAGTTTGTGTGAGCCAAAAGAGGATCTGGTTCGGATCTCTCCTATTAAAGATCCAAAATCAAGTAATTTGGGTTGTTAAAATTTAATTCAACGGTTTTAAATAAGGATCCTTTTAAAAGTTATAATAATTATAGTCATCAAATCAAATTTTAACAGTCTAAATCACTTGATCCTAGATGTTTGATGGGAGAGATCCGGACCGGATCCTCTTCCATGTTAGCCGAGCAATCCGCTTCAGCCAAATCCAAATTTGCTTCGATTATCACCTTGAATTTGAAGAGTTTCCTAACACACCAAATGTAATAACATAATTAATTAAAAAAAAAATTTAAAAAATTCTAATTAATTATATTATTATATTTAATGTATCGAGATTTGTTACGGAGATAATGAAATTTTTCTTCGAACCTAGTAGCCCGCCGACAGCTACTGCACTTCGACTGTCATCCAATTTTCACCGACAATGGATGGATGTTTGGTGCTCGGAGTCGTGACTCATCGTCGTAGAATAATTTACCATTAATAATAAAAAGCAACTCTAAATATCTTCTTCTTTTTTTATTCTTTTTTTTTTTTGCCGCTAGCATAGTATACCAGTTCCAAACGACAAAAGTTTTTCTTGTTTGTAGATCTCCTCCTTGGCTCATATTTAAAGCTTTTCAGGTTGGGAAACCCAAGTTGCATGCTTGTCGTTCGTTCGTTGGCTTAAATTTTGCAAGAAAAAGACGACGCTATACATCAATTTTAATATATTTATTATTTTACTCCTGCTTATGACAAGAAAATCTCACCGTAAAATTAGAAACGATAAATACATCGTAATCCTTGAGCATGTGTTCTTCATTTTGTTTATTGTTCTTCAATCCCACTTGTTGAATTTATAATTGATTATAATAATTTCTTGTTTTACTATCACCAACTATATAATTGGTGCTATGAGATATTGTTATATATCCTCGTTCAATCATAAAATCATTAGATGTTTGAATCTTAGTATCTTACCTACCACCTTGTATGTTTACATGGTTACAAATCAACCATAATTTATTTCCCTTGTAACGAAAATATTGTTACTTTGCAACTTGAAACTTGATTTTTACTTTATTTTGCTAAGATTTTGTTTATTAAGTCAAAATGTGACGTCATATGCTCATATGGCAGAAATATTGCTTATGTGGCGTGTATTCAAGCAAAAGATATAAGAACATATTGATAAAGTTATCATGCGTTCTTCCTTCTCTTGGATTTACTTCCATTACCATTCGAATTCAGAGAAAGAATGAGCCCCAAATCCATGGATGTTGATGCTCTCAATTTCACACCGAATCTCTAAAGTACGACGACCTAAATTCATCGTCGAATCTACTTCTTTCTCTTCAAATTTCTTCCATTGACACTCAGAATTTCAACAAATCTGACCCGAAAAACTGTGTATATGGAAGGCCATGTAGAATTTCAACAAATTTGACGCGAAAAACTCTTCAAGTGTTCGTATTGGTTACGTATTTATATCTTAACGGGACTCATAAAGTAATATTTTCAAATGTTCGCATTGGTTACGTGTTTGTATTTTAACGGGACTCATAAACCACGTGGGATTATCAGTACTTTTTTTTTTTTCACATTGAGGCACTGCTCCACTGGAAATTGAGAGCACATCAGGCCTTAAGCTTCGACCTATGTCTATTCACTTCATCAGTCAAGGCCCATATTTGAGCTCCCGGCCTACCCAGTGAAAAGTATCCGATCCATAAATTGGGCCGTGTGGCTATTGGGCCCAGCAATCACTGACTTCCACGCCAGAAACGTAAGACTTTTCCCACGAAAGTGGAAACTGGAAAGGTCGCCAAGGGTAGTAAGAAACCAGCAAAGCAAGTAGTGAGCAGCATCTGTGCTTTGCTTCTTGGCTACCTTCTTCCAGAGGCTCGCCAAGGCGGCGCCGATCGCCTTCAACAGCTCGTTTCGAGGCCAATCGAAGTCCAGCTTTCGCGTTCCCTTCGGAGCAGTCGCAGCCGTCTCCGGCGGAATCTCCTATCTCTGCTACTATTCCTCGCCGGATTTGGTAATTTCTCCTGCTCATTTCATCTGGGTATTGATTAGATTGTTGATTTATCACTGATGCAATGTGGGTTTTAGCTCAGGAATTTTGTGGCGTGCCCAATTGGGTCCTGATGGTTTTGAGCGTTTGAAGAAATGGGTGTGTTTGTGATGGTGTTTTTGTTTTCTTTTCGATATTCGATTCTGGGTTTATTTAGTTGTAAACTACAGATAGTATAATTAAGTATTTGAATTTGGTGTATTCAGGTCTTGGTTGTTGATTAATTGTTTATGTATTTTGGATTCTTGTCTAATTAGCTTAGAATGTTTGGAGTAATGGGGATTTTCAAGCTAGCGTTGATTGCGTTTGATGAACTGGTTTCATTTACGGTGTTGTGTTAGCGATATTCATCATCGGATAGTAGTAAGACAACGTGTATGCCTGCATGGTATAGCTTTGAAACCGAAAAGAGCACAGGATAAGGTGTCCCGGTGTGTGATCAGAATACCTTTTTATTGCTGAGGTTTACTACTGCAAGATGACACTTCTGAGTGACATTTACGTTTTCATGGATAGTCACGGCTCTATTGGTTTTTATAAATTTTTCTTATTTGGGGTTTTAAGGTCAAAGGGTTATATGATGTGAATACCGGAATTTGTTGTGCGCATTCGTTTCTAAGTGGAAGTGGAATGTGCTGCATGTACATGTTGCAGTTTCCCCGACATCTTAAGGATTGAGTTTCGTAATAGGATAAAAGGTTTTTCATTTTTTTCTCCTGCTTGTTATGGTTTGGGTTATATTTGCCAGTATAGCAACTTACTTGTTGATAGGTATTTTTACCACCTGCAAAAGTAGGGATAAAAACACTTAAAAATACTTGCAAGAGAACAAGGTAGTCGTAGTATAAACCGCTCAAGTAAGGTCGTTTTCCGCAGGGATTGAATGAATAATTTATTTAAACTAATTCTTAACTAATTATTTGAAAACAAAGATTGGTAGAGGTTTGTTTTGAATTTAAAAATAATAAAAACGAATTTAATTAAAAATGAATAAAGAAATTAGCAAAGTAAAGAAGACAAGGGAAAACGTTTTGAAGACCAAATTGTAAAAGCCTAGGGATCCGCCGTCCCCTTAACAATCCTATGTAGATTTACCAATTACTTATGAATTACACATGCAACTTTGAAGGTTAGGTTTTCCTTATGCATATTCTACTTGTGGCATTCAAGCTAGAACGTATATCAAACATGCAATCCGTCTGTGGCATTCAGATCAAATATAAACATGCATGATTCATTACGCTTTGTGAAAACCCTTTGAAAAACCATGCAACCCCTAAGACGTAGCATTCGCCTAGGTGAAATTACAACTATCAATCACAAGAAGCAATACTCAATTCTCCGGCGGCATTCCGAACGAATTGCATCTGATTACTTATCTAAACATCATAATGGTAGCTAAGCATTAAGATATGGAGACAGTTTAAAGCACATTGATTAATTATTCAAAGTATGCATGTATAATATCGTAAGCAATTAAATAAAAACTACATATCCATGCTAAGGCTCAAGGCATTGCCCTAGCAAACGGAAATTAGTTATGAACAATCATAAAACAAAAAGAATTTATTGAAATAGAAAAAGGATAGAAAACACCTTGAAAATACAAAGCGTCAAAGCCTAACTAAATTCTCCAGGTACGTTCCCCTCAATGTTGCATACAGAACCCTAATGGCTAACAAGCCTTATTTATACTACTCTAATTAAAATTCTCCTAGCAAAAGGTCTTAGAATAAAACTAGGAAACATAATTAAATGATAAAATAGAAAATAAAAGGTTTACTATTTGAACTAGAATTCAGAGTTCTCAGAAAATCACGTTTTTGACCCACCAAATCAACTCTGATTTGCCCCCAACAGGCCTCTTTTGAAAGCTGAAGACGTCCCCTATAAATCCTCAGAAGGAATCTTCCTCAAAATACGCCAGTTTGACCTCCAAAATACCCAAAACGTTCAGAAACGTCAATCTGGGAAAGCTGCGCGCTAGGCCTTAATTTCATCGACACGGTCAAACGGCCTGGTGGAAAAATCTGGAATTTATACAAACATCTTGAAAGACACATGAACATCCTCCAATTGGAATCACTCCAAAATTCATCATTTTGATCATTTTTTGCTCCAGAGGAAGTCGAATGTCCTACATTGAAAATATATAACAAAGTATCAAAATTCTACCAAAATAACTAATAAATTATAACTAAGATTAGGGTAAAATATATAGTATAATATGCACTCATCACTTGTCATTAAGGGTTTAGGATTCAGGTTCTTCTTCTGTATTTAGAACTAAGAATCTTTTTTTTTAACAGGTGTATCTAGATGAAATCAAAGAACAGACTGGCCCAAAAGTTGGTGGGTCTCTCTCTCTCACACCCCGCACACCCCGCAAACATGCACACAGAAGATGTACATTGCAATAAGAATGTCAGTTGGACTTTTTGATAAGACTAAATATGTAGCTCAAAGCCTTGTTTTTATCATGAACTTAGTTTTGTTTTAACGGATTAGAAACTTAGTTTTGTTTTATCATGAACTTAATTTCTGTGAATGCCACGTATCCAATTCTAAAATTGACATGTTAGTGAGATCAAGTTCTTTGAATTGCAATGGAATGTCTTTGGTGTGTTTAATGAATGAAGCAATTGAGTTTTTGAACTTTTTTCGTATTGGCGCGCAATAGTTGTGTGATGATCGCAGTCGTTTTCCTAAATAGTTTCGAGTTGTTGTATGCTTTTGGTGTGTGATCAGGCCAGGGCTTTTGCTAGAATGGCATAGTATATCACAATTTTGTGGACATTGTGGAGAAAAAACAGTCCCCAAGGAAGCTTGGAGGCGGAAGCAGTGTTCGAGTGGGCTGTGCAGAAAGCGGGTCTACCCTCGTGTTGATCCGGTATGTTTATGCTTTATCAGTTTGCATTTCAAGTTGGTGCTTTTCTCTTGTATAGCTCATATTGTGTCATTTCAACAGGTTGTCATAATGTTAGTCATTGATAGAGAGAACGACCGTGCTCTATTGAGTAGACAATCTCGATTTGTACCTCGAATGTGGAGTTGCTTAGCTGGTTTTATAGAGGTAACTCTATGGAATATGTCAGACACTGCTAACTGTGTATAGTAGTCGGTATTAGTATTTATACTCCTTTTCGGGGTTTGTGTAACAGTTTCATTAGTTTGATCCTTTTCTCGTCCTTAGCCAGGGGAAAGCTTAGAAGAAGCAGTGAGGAGAGAAACATGGGAAGAGACTGGTATTGAAGTAGGAGAAGTTGTCTATCATAGCTCTCAGCCATGGCCTGGTATGAATGTTGCGAAGTTTGTATTCTGTTTCACTACAGATAATTGCACACACCATATGGGTTTCTTTCTTTGCTTCCAATAGATTGATTGAGTTCCAATTTTGGTTTTGTTTCCAGTTGGACCAAATAGCATGCCAGGTCAGTTGATGGTTGGGTTCTTTGCATACGCAAAATCACTCGAAATAAATGTGGACGGGGAAGAGTTGGACGACATTATGGTTGTCTACTTGTAACTCATAAATCTGTGTACATGTTTCAAACCAGAAGTTGATTTTACAGGAAGTTTCAATTCAGTTGATTTAAAGATTTGCTGATATCTACAGAAACGAAGGGAAATATGGCAATGACACGAAGATTATGTACATTTTATTTAGCCATGTTGCTACGATCTCTTATCCACCGTTGCTTGTAGCCTTTGCCCATTTTATTGTCGACCTAGCCAAAGCGTCCATGGGGTTGATACATTTCTTAAGAAGAGGATCGCCCGGAGGCAGAACAACCTGCAACTCGTCCGAGGCAATGATCACGGTGTTCACTGCCCTCACCAGCAGGACCTGGACTGCAATGCTTAACAGGTTTCGTGCCCCCTTCATGTCCCGTCGTTTTATTGCTTCAATTGCGGGAATCACCACATGCTCCATGGTTTGCTTGTCAGGTACCACAACATCAAACCCCTGTCCATTGCCATTGCACCGAAATGTGTTTTCGCCGGTGACTTAAAATGTAAGTAAAGCTTTCGAAGAAAATCGGAATTGGTATCTTCATGGTTTTCACAAAATTTGATAAATGAGCAAGAAAAATGAAATTAGGTTGAATGTGTACCTGACTTTGTAGCTTTTCTTGGTAAAAACCAGCCATTAAAGTTGCATCTGCAGCAAGCACTCCAATCCTTACATTGCTTCCTTTTTCCAGTGGCTTCAACTTTGCTTCCCTGAGCTCCAGGGCAACACACTCACCGATATGAAGGAAGCGCAGAGAACAGTCCTCAGATATCTGGTCGTGCCACGCATGGGACAGATGACACGGCATGACTATGCATCGAGCGCCAGAGTGCTGGAGGAACGCCCTCTTGCTACACAAGCTCTCGATGATAGGCCAGTTATTTGATAGGATTTGAGCACTACTAGTACTTATTCTTGTGTGTGAATGAAACAAACTGCGAATCGGAAGCTCCTTATACAATGTTGGATCGCTGCACACGATGAAGGGCGGGCATTCTCCTCCATTTTTAAGACTCCACCACACAAGCTTCTCCAAGAAAAGGAGGCTTGAATAAACAGACACCCCTCCAATGATGCCGACAGTGTTTGGTTGGCTCAGTACGTGACATCTTGTTACGGGTAAGCCCGAATTCCGAACTTTCTTCGATTCAGGTAGATTTCCGCTCTCATTGGTTTGCAGAACTGAAGATACTTGCATTGCAGCTACAGAAGAGCTTGATTTGGTTCTGTTTTGTGTCCTATTTTTGGTCAAAAGTCCAGAAAGAAGAGGTGGACGGTTTTGTGTGTGGAAGGACATTGTCATCCCTGCATCAACCATCCCCGTTGCGATATAATCAACTACTTAGAACCCTAAGATTTTGGCTACTTAGAACCCTATATGACCACCACACGAGAAATAATAAGATTAGGAATAAGAATATCCGAGGTAAAGTAGGAGTAGATGAAATTGAAGGAAATATGAGAAAAAATCGATTACGGTGGTTTGGACATGTGAAACGAAGGCCTATTAACGCTCCGGATAGAAGATGTGATTGCAGGATAGAGGTTCAAGGTTGAAGGGGTAGAAGAAGACCTATGAAGACTTTGGAAAAGACTCTAAGAAAAGACTTAGAGTACTTGGATCTAACCGAAGACGTGACACAAAACCGAGCTCAATGACGTTCTAAATTCATATAACCGATCTCACTTAGTGGAAAAAGGCTTTTTATGTTGCTGTTGTAGAACCCTATATGACCACCAGATACCGGTTTCTTGTACCAAATCCGCCTTGAAAACTAGAAAATCTCATTCCTCTCTCTACTTCACCACTCAAAGTTCAAACTTCAGTATGAGGTTGTGATCATACCAACTTACGCACACATGATTCTATCAGAACTACAAAGTTAAGCGAATCTAGGTGAGAGCAATACTAGCATCAAAGGATGGATGATCGCCTTCAAAGTCTTCGTGTTAAGATGAATCCCTTTTAGAATCTAGACCCCAAATCGCAAAAGCTACTCCAAACCAGTCTTTGGCTTATAGGTTTGGTGATGCAAGTAGAATGCAGAAAAAGACACGATCTTGCAACATTTTGCAGGGTGTTATATAAGCAAACAAAGTAAACACATTCAATGTCCAATCATAAAAAGGTAAATGAAATCTACACAACTCCTGTCCTATTCGGTTTTGCCATAGCAGCATTGTCAGCCGTTGAAATATAAAATTAATCCATAATGAAAAAATGATAGTAGCTCTTTGTTTTATAGGCTTTCGATAGAATTTAGGTAATACTTTCAAAGTGACTTGACGTCTTCCAGGCTATTCAGGAAGAATGCAGCAATTCCTAATTAGTTTGCCTTGTCAAAGAACAATACTTGAGTACTCAACAGGAAGTACCGTAGTTGCTGACCATCCTATTACGACCACTAAATTTAAAACATCAAATAAAATCCTCTTACTATCTTTCTAACCAAACACACCATTTCATCTCTTGTACTAGTATCCAAACATCCATCTTCTTTCTCACTACAAAGCATTGCTGCCACATCTCCACCAACCACCTGCTCTCCTTTCTCCCGAAGTCATGGTAGCTTCACCCTCTCAAATTTCACGAAACCCATGAAAGATCTAATCCATCTTGCTAATCTTATGAAGGAAATTTCATCTATAAGAAAAAATTATGAAGTAGGTTGAAATTATTTACTGAAATTTGGGAGAAGGTTGGTATTCGGAACTGCCAAAGATTCCACTAAGGAGAAGTCCGACGACGGCGACGGGGTGTTGCCATGGCTTCCACAATAAAGAATAGGAGGATTTTTGGGGCAGAGTTGACAGAGAAAGGTCAGATATGGGTGGCACCGACAGAGAAGATGAGGTTCCCGGAGGCGTTGGGGAGGACAAGGTTTTTGGCGTTGATCCCATGGCAGAAGCAAGGAGTAGTGAGGTTGGAATGTTGAGCCTTTGAGGGAGAAAGGGGATGTTTGGATGTATGGTTAAAATTGTGTTTGGTTACAAGTTTATTAAATTAAAGTTGTGACATGTGTTTTGTTCTTATTGGGCCACTAGTTAGTACCTAAGTAGTAACAAGTGGTTGTTGCTTGTGAAAAGTAACGAGTGACTGTTTGTGTTTGGTGTGAATAATGAATATCCCATGATTGTGATTTGTGAGTGCTCAACCAACTGATTTGGTGAATATAAATTTTGATTAATCCTACAACCTAGAATACACCTGGAATTCAGTAAAGGTATGCTTATATACTCGTAATCGGAATCAAAACGAGAAGTTGAATTCTGATTATGAAGTATTCAAGCGTTTACTAATTTTGGAGGAATCAAAGGAGTGGCGGGCCCCACACAAATTAAGGAATCAAACTCCCCAAAATGGAGGAATCGAACTCCTTTGATGGATGTGGTATTTGAGTTCCGAAATAGGGAGGGAATGGGAATGTATTTTTTCTACCTATTATGCCCGCTTAATATTTTTAAAATTTCAAGTTTGCACACAACAAACCCACCGCTTTAGGACTTTGGAATAAGGGTATTATAGTAATCACATTGGTTTTCATTTCGAGTCAGGTAAATTAGTAAACAACTTATTGACAAAAATCAAAGAATGAGCTAAGACCCCTCTGTAAGTCTTCAAAAAACTTGTGGTATACTCTGATCCTGAGATGGGATACCCTCTCCTTCTCCTAAACTTTTTATTAAAAAAAAACGCAGCCTAATCCAGTAAAAAGGCTTGATTGTTGTGGTGTTAATCTTGAAGATATTTGGCAACAATAAAAGGGCGTTGCTATTTGTATTTGCAGAAGTTGAAAACTGTTATAAATACTTCAAATTTTATTTTACAAGTTAAAGGATAATTTTCTAACTTCGGTTGTATTGCAATAAGTACATAATAACTTTTTTGAAGTCTTAAATGACAAAAAGGCATTGTTCAATACATCAATGGGGGATCGACACATCACATGCAAATTGGGTGCTTCATTGGGTTTTTCTGAGGTAATTTTGGAATCTGACTCTTCCGAGGCTGTCTCTTGCCTTTCTAATTCTCCAGAAAATGGCAGTTGGGAGGCTTTTCCTATTTTAGAAAGGGTGAAAATGATGGGGGAAGCTTTCCAGAACTATCGTTGGTCTTGGGTCCCAAGATCAGCCAATATGGCGGCAGATGCTCTTACATCGCGAGATTGTGCGGAGCTGTGTGATGTTGTTTGGGTCGTTAGGCCCCCATCTTCGCTGGTTTTTGTTTTGAACAATGATGGTCTTCCTTGTCCCTTTTAGTTGTAGGTGGCAGTGTCGGGGGTGACATTTCTGCTTGGCTGAAGCATCTTTGTTTGTATCCCTTTTCATCGCCTTCCTTGCTTTATCATGTTTGTTGTTTGCCTCTTTGTAGGCTCTCTTGTCTTCTATTTGGCCTCTGTGCCCTGGAATGTACTTTCCTTGTTCTAAAAAAAAAAAAAGATCAAAACCATTTGGTGATTGTACTTAATTATTTGGGAACTGGATCCCCTCCAGATATGTAGGAAGTGAACTTAAGAATCATAATATCCGGACCGTTGAAATTTGATCTAATGGTTACAAACAAGGGGCCCTTCTAAAAGTTATAATAATTGTAGTTGTTGGATCAAATTTCAACCACTTGGATTCCATGATCCTTAGGCTCAGTTCCTACATATTTAGAGAGGATCCGGTTTCAATTATTTGAAGATTGATCGTGACTAACATAATGACAAGTGTCACTTTCCCACTCCATTTTTTAAAGTGTTAACGTCTTACATATTTTTCAAATAAGAAAGAAACTGTTATTTATATTTTCAAAACTCATTATTAATTTGATCAATGATGACTTTTTTGAAACAAGGAAACCAAATAATTTCGAGATAAAAGCAATCGTTTCAGTAAGTTCAAAGGACGCTTAATGAGACTTAATGAGAATTTTGAGATAATTGTGAGAAGTTAGTGTTACGCTTTGACGTTAAAAGAAATAGATAATTAAAAATCTCGCTTAAGATCACAACGATAATCAGAATATGAGTTATCATCCCTCATTTTACCAAAAAGCAATTGTTCAATGCATCGACGAGGGATCGACACATCACACACATGTACAACAAAATTGGATTGAAAGCATTGGTGATTTGGTGATCGTACTCAATTATTCAAGATCTTATATTCTTCTGACTAATCAATAAAACAGAGAGCCAAATAGAAATGTCATTTTCCAAGTTCATTTGAAGTATAATATTCATAAACATATTGTGCATTTTGTTTCCCTGTTTCCATGACCAATCAGAGTGACATACGTGGTAAATGATGATCATATAGGTTGAGACAGATATATTTATATAACTCGTACATAGGTATAAATATTAGTAGCTTATGTTATCCTTGGGTTAGTTTGACGATCTTAATGTTAGTGAAGTTCATATTTCATCAGCTAACGGTTAAAAGAATGACTCTAAGACAACAAGGCTTTTTGCTTTGCGAGCATCAGAGAGGGGGTGGAGAAACGTCTATCGTACGCAACCTTACCTTAACTTTGCAAAGGTGTTGTTTCTACGACTTGAACATGTGACCTATATGCTACCACATATGAACACAACAATTGTGCGGGTTTATCAAAAAGTGTGTAGACATATAAGTCCTTCTATATGATATATAGATTAATTTTTTGACCATTAGAGCCATATACCTGATTGACAGCCGTTATATTTGTTAATTACATTGAATGAAATACCACTCTATCGCTTCTCATAAAATATACATATATAAGCTTATAACAATACATATTTAATAGGAAACCTTTACTAAGAACAACATATCAATTACATAATATATAGGAAATAATTAGTACAAAGAAGATTAGAGTCAACAGTTTACCAAACAAAATGCATCAATGCAATTAAAAGTAGAACTATTTATTATGTGTTGTATTTTGTTTTGTCAATTTGCTTACGTGGGAGTTTTTGCCTTTTTCATTAGTAAGTTGACGGTAAAGTTGCATTAGCCGACCAATCGGCTTCAGCCAAACCCAAATTTGCTTCGATTATACTACCGTCACTCTAAACTTAGAAGAGATTCTCAACACATCAAGAGTAATAATATAATTAGTTTAAAATTTTAAAAAAAATAATTAATTATATTATTACACTTAATGAACCGGACTGTATTTCAACTTAAATAACATTTTCTTCAAGCCAGCCGGCATCTACAACACTTTGACTACCATCCAATTTTCACAACAATCAACGGATGTTTGGTGCTCGCAGTCGTGACTTATTTTCCTAATAGAATTACTAGTAGATGAGCACACACTCTGTGTGTAAACAATTTCATTTTATTTTTTGTTTTTTTATTAAGGAGTATGATTAGTTTTTAAAATTTTAAAAAGAGTATGAAATAATGATGGTGGGACAATTTCTCTTGATAAGTGCATATTTTATTTTAATATTATATTTTTTATTAAGGAGTGATTAGTTTTTAAAATTTTAAAAATAATGATGGTGGGACCATTTCTCTTAATAAGTGCATATTTTATCTAACTATTACATAATTACTGTTTTGTGCTCTTTATGTAAATATTGTGTATCAAAAGTGAGTAAAATAGGAAAAATAAGGATATGATTATCATTTTCTCAAAAGATGCAAATTACCATTTTGTCCTCCTTATGTAAGTATTGTGTATCAAAAGTGAGTGCAAAATAAGGAAAAAATGGCAAAAAGTTGAAAATGAGGGTTCTCTTAATAATATTATAGATAATAATAAACAACTTTTAATATCTTTCTTCTTTTTTCTAGTTTTTTTTTTCCGCTAGCATAGTATACCGGTTTTAAACGACGAGAGAGGTTTTTATTCGCAACACAGAGTAGTACGCCATATATTATTACAATCAGAGAAATATTTTTTTAAATTATTTATCTACTTCTATAATGACACATGATGTATATAATCGTGTTCCACTCACATTGAAAATATGTTTTAGATCTCCTCCTTGTCCTAGCAAATGAGATTCATGCAATCTTAATGAATGTTGTGTTTTGCTTGGCTCATATTTAAAGCTTTTCAGGTTGAGAGACCCACGTTGTATGCTTGTCGTTCGTTCCTGGCTTATATTTTGCATGAAAACAACAACGCTATACATCAATTTTAACAATATATATATATATATATATATATATATGTATGTATATATATATATAATCTTGCTCATGACAAGAAAATCTCACCATTAAATTAGAAACGATAAAACACTGTCATCATTGTGCTTGTGTTCTTTATTTTGTTTATTGTTCTTTAATCCCACTTGTTGAATTTACAATTGATTATAATGATTTATTGTTTTACTATCACCAACTATACTATTGGTGCTATGAGATATTGTTATCCTAATTCAATCATATAATCATGAGATGTTTGAATCTCATTATTTGGTTATAAATAGACCATAATTCGTTTCTCTTGTAATGAAATATCGTTACTTTGCAACTTGAAACTTGATTTTCACTTTATTTTGCTGAGATTTTGTTTATTAAGTCAAAAAGTGACAGAATGTGCTGACATGGCAGAAATATTGCTTATGTGGCGTGTATTCAAGCAAAAGATAGAAGGGTATTTTGGTAAAGATATCATGTGTTTTTCCTTCTCTTGGATTTACTTCCATTACCATTCGAATTCAACAAAGATTGAACCCCAAATCCATGGATAAGTGCATATTATATCTTAATATTACATTTTTTTTTATTAAGGAGTGATTAGTTTTTAAAATTTTAAAAATAATGATGGTGGGATCATTTCTCTTAATAAGTGCATATTTTATCTTACTATTACATAATTACTGTTTTGTGCTCTTTATGTAAATATTGTGTATCAAAAGTGAGTAAAGTAGGAAAAATAGGGATATGATTGTCATTTTCTCAAAATATCAAATTACCATTTTGCCCTTCTTATGTAAGTATTGTGGATCAAAAGTGAGGGCAAAATAGGAAAAAAATGGCAAAAAGTTGAAAAGTAGGGTTCTCTTAATAATAATATAGATAATAATAAACAACTCTAAATATCTTTCTTTTTTTTTTTTTTTTTTTTCTTTTTTTTCCGCTAGCATAGTATACTAGTTATAAACTACAAGAGAGGTTTTTGTTCGCAACACATAGTAGTACGTCATATATTATTATACAATCAAAGAAATATTTTTTTTAAATTATTTATCTATTTCTATAATGGCACATGATGTATATAATCGTGTTCCACTCACATTGAAAATATGTTTTAGATCTCCTCCTTGTCCTAGCAAATGAGATTCATGCAATCTTAATGAATGATGTGTTTTGCTTGGCTCATATTTAAAGCTTTTCAGGTTGAGAGACCTACGTTGCATGCTTGTCGTTCGTTCCTGGCTTATATTTTGCATGAAAACAACAACGCTATACATCAATTTTAACAATATATATATATGTATGTATGTATGTATATATATAATCCTGCTCATGACAAGAAAATCTCACCATTAAATTAGAAACGATAAAACACTGTCATCATTGTGCCTGTGTTCTTTATTTTGTTTATTGTTCTTTAATCCCACTTGTTGAATTTACAATTGATTATAATGATTTATTGTTTTACTATCACCAACTATACTATTGGTGCTATGAGATATTGTTATCCTAATTCAATCATATAATCATGAGATGTTTGAATCTCATTATCTGGTTATAAATAGACCATAATTCGTTTCTTTGTAATGAAAATATCGTTACTTTGCAACTTGAAACTTGATTTTCACTTTATTTTGCTGAGATTTTATTTATTAAGTCAAAAAGTGACAGAATGTGCTGACATGGCAGAAATATTGCTTATGTGGCGTGTATTCAAGCAAAAGATAGAAGGGTATTTTGGTAAAGATATCATGTGTTCTTCCTTCTCTTGGATTTACTTTCATTACCATTCGAATTCAACAAAGATTGAGCCCTAAATCCATGGATGCTGATGCTCTCGACTTCACATTGCATCTCAAAAGTGCGACGACCTAAATTCGTCGTTGAGTCTGCTTTTTTGTCTTCAATTTTCTATCATCGACACTCAAATTTCAACAAATCTGACCCAAAAAACTATATGTATGTGGAAGGCCATGTCGAATTTCAACAAATTTGACGTGAAACTCTCTTCAAGTGTTCGTATTGGTTACGTACTTATATCTTAATGGGACTCATAAAGTAATATTTTTAAGTGTTCGTATTGGTTAGATACTTGTATCTTAACAGGACTCATAAAACACATGGGATTATCAGTACTTTCCACAAGAGGAAAGGTTTCTTTTTTCACATTGAGGCACCGGTCCACTGGAAATTGAGAGCACATCAGGCCTTAATCTTCGACCTATGTCTCATAACTTCATCAGTCAAGGCCCATATTTGAATTCCCGGGCCACCCAGTGAAAAGTATCCGATCCATAAATTGGGCCTTGTGGCTATTGGGCCCAGTAATCACTGACTTCCACGCCAGAAACGTTAAAGACTTTTCCCACGAAAGTGGAAACTGGAAACGTCGCCAACAGTAGTGAGAAATCAACAAGGCAAGTGGCGAGCAGCATCTGTGCTTTGCTTCTTCCAATGGCTACCTTCTTCCAAAGGCTCGCCAAGGCGGCGCCGATCGCCTTCAACAGCTCGTTTCGAGGTCAATCGAAGTTCAGCTTTCGCATTCCCTTCGGAGTAGTCGCAGCCGTCTCCGGCGGAATCTCCTATCTCTGCTACTATTCCTCGCCGGATTTGGTAATTTCTCCTGCTCATTTCATCTGGGTATTGATCAGATTGTTGATTTATTACTGATGCAATGTGGGTTTTAGCTCAGGAATTTTGTGGCCCCAATTGGGTTTTTTAAGAAAGTATAATTTCTCCTGATGGTTTTGAGCGTTTAAAGAAATGGGTGTGTTTGTGATGGTGTTTTTGTTTTCTTTTCTATATCCGATTCTGGGTTTATTTAGTTGTAAACTACAGATAGTATAATTAGGTATTTGAATTTTGTTTGTTCAGGTCTTTGTTGTTGATTAATTGTTTATGTATTTGGATTCTTGTCTAATTAGCTTAGAATATTTGGAGTAATGGGGATTTTCAAGCTAGTGTAGATTGCGTTTGATGAACTGGTTTCATTTATGGTGTTGCGTTAGTGATGTTCATCATCGGATAGTAATTAGAAGTTGTGTATGCCTGCATGGTATAACTTTGAAAACGAAAAGAGCACAGGATCAGATATCCCGGTGTGTGATCAGAATACCTTTTATTGCTGGTTTACTACTGCAAGATGACCCTTCTGAGCGACATTAACGTTTTCATGGATAATCACTGCTCTATTGGTTTTATAGGTTTCCTAATGCAATAAAAGGTTTTTCATTGTCTTTTCCTGCTCATTATGGTTTGGTTTATATTTGCCCGTATAGCAACTTACTTGTCATTAAGGGTTTAGGATTCAGGTTCTTCTTCTGTATTGAGAGCTAAGAATCCTTTTTTTTTTATTTTTTTTTTTTTAACAGGTCTATCTAGATGAAATCAAAGAACAGACTGGCCCAAAAGTTGGTGAGTTTTGATAAGACTAAATATGTAGCTCAAAGCTTTATATCATGAACTAAGTATTGTGTTAACGGATTAGAAACTTAGTATATCAAGCTTAATTTCTGTGAATGCCACACATCCAATTCTTTCACCCTTACATTCATGCTCGGTAAATGTGTTTACCGTGTTTTCAGCACTTAATCCAGACAAATGGGTTGAATTTAAGTTGCAAGATACTGCAAGGGTTAGCCATAATACACAATTATTCAGGTATATCCTCAAGACACACCAGATGCCTTAGAACTATTATTTGAAATAAAATTTATATTGATCAGAAGCACTAGCTCTTCAAATACCTGCAATAATACTAAGATGTCCTGATTTCATGTTCTTGTAGAATGTCTAAACATCAATGTGACTGATTTCTCTTAGTTTTTCTCCAAAACTGGCAGGTTTACATTTGATCCGAATGCCAAGTTGGGTTTATATGTTGCTTCATGTCTCCTTACGAGGTATACTCTTCTGTTTATAATTACTCTGCTTTGTCTTGAAAATCCTTATTGATAGGAAGTCTGTCACCTCATTGATATGGTTTTTTGTCCCTGTGATCCTGTAACACTAGGGCTCCATTAGGACAAGATGCTGAAGGGAAACCAAAATATGTCATACGCCCGTAAGTCTTTCTGGCCTCATGTTAAATGCTGTTTTTATTTTCTCCTTATTCCGGGACTTAATTATGTAACTTTGGAAGTCTTTGAATTCTGTATTTCTCTTACCTGCAGCTGTTTGTATGAGTTATTGAATTTACTTTTTGATTTTCAGTCACCTCGTATATTTTCATTTGCATGACTTGTAGTACTTATTCAGTTTACCTTTATGCTCAGGTATACTCCTATTTCAGATCCAGATGCCAAGGGATACTTTGACTTGTTAATTAAGGTATGCTGTCAATTATATTCACTTATTCACTTGATTTGGTTAAGTTTCTGAGGATTCATTGACCCTAGATGTAATTCAAGCTTTTTCATTTTTGTTGAAACTCTATGCAGGTGTATCCAGAAGGAAAAATGAGCCAGCATTTCGCAAGTTTAAAACCAGGCGACATAGTTGAAGTGAAGGGGTAATTTATCCACATTCACAAGTAATAGCAGTGGATATGCTCTAAATCATCTTCTAATCAGGTGTATCTGTTTCTTGCAGGCCCATTGAAAAACTCAGATATACTCCCAACATGAAGAAACATATAGGCATGGTATGAGCTACTTGTATAGAAATCAATATATAATATATAATAATTTTCTCCTCCTTTTACGAATATCTCATGGGTTCCATGCATTTGCATCGTCGTTAGCCTTATCAATTATGGTAGTGGTGTTCAGTTCTTTCTTGCATTGTGTGTCTATACACGTGAATACTTACAAAAATTAAGATCATTGGTGTATGATAAATCTGTGTGGTCTCTTTGTCTGAAAGTGCGATTTCATTCTTTGTTACAGATTGCCGGTGGTACAGGTATTACTCCAATGCTTCAGGTTATTGAGGCCATACTGAAAAATCCTGACGACACAACTCAGGTGAGAGAGAGCCTATATCATTAGTCTTTACATCACAAGATTCACAACTGCGGTCTATCCAATTGAAATCTTGAACTTCTCATTTTAATATGTGTACTTATATACATAATAGGGTAAGTATATTTGTGATATTTAACAATGTTAATTCTTTGTAATAATCGCTATACGATAGTCTCAGCATATTTTCTAATTGTGTGAAATTGACGATTGATGATGGCCTAGGTGTCACTTCTTTATGCGAATGTCTCCCCTGATGACATACTGCTTAAACAGAAACTCGACATACTTGCAGCTAGCCACCCAAATTTAAAGGTACCATTTGTCTCATCATAAAATACCATCATTGCATCACTCCAAATTTGGATGGTCTCTCTCATGAAACGTGGCTTTATTTTTTGAAATCAAATGCAGGTATTTTATACTGTAGATAATCCAACAAAGAGTTGGAAAGGGGGAAAAGGTTACATATCAAAGGACATGGCAGTTAAAGGCTTACCTGCTCCTGGTGAAGATACTCTCATCCTGGTAAGTGTTACATACTGCAGAGGCGCTATGTACTTGTTGATATCATCTTCTAGTTCAATTTTTCATTAGATCTCATCGATCGACCTGCATTGCTTGTGCAGGTATGTGGTCCTCCTGGGATGATGAAACATATATCTGGTGACAAGGCGCAAGACCGATCGCAAGGAGTAGGTAAAGAAGGGCAGTATCCTGCTTTTTAATTGCGGTAAAACCATTTGGTCCATTACCGTTTCTATTTCTTTTTTTCTCATAAGTTTCTGTTTGCTTTGTTGCAGCTCACTGGCATACTAAAAGAACTCGGGTACACTGAAGAAATGGTTTACAAATTTTGATTCAGCGAGGATGATTTCACTTATAAGAAGCACTTACTAGGTTTTATTTCAAATTTTTGTGCAATAAACTGTGTTCTTAGGAAGCATACACAACTCAAACTTGAATTCCAAATAAATTTGGGAACAATACTGAATAGGACATATTTTGTTATGAAATTTGTTGTGTTGTCCACTCGAGGGGACGAAATGTCATCTCTCTTTCTGCACATCATTGTTTACGGAAAGGAGATAATGTTCGATTCCGAATTGGCAGAAGCACTTGACTGATGGTCGTTCAATTACCGGCTTATCAAGAAGGCGCGAATCACTTGGATTGTTTGGCAGAAGCAGGAAAAGGCCTAAAAGGTATGGTACGGGTAGGCTGTTGCATGGAAGATTGGCATCTGAAGTGGGAAATAGCACTTGTGAATCACTCAGGGGAATGCAGTTTTTTCTAGCGGTCGAATTCGACGTGGTTCACTTAGGCATGCACGGGAAAATAGGTCCAGGAAGCATCACAAGGAGAGAAGGCCGGGTAAGCAGCTGTTTCCTTTGTCCGAAATCTCAAAGAAACCAGTTCCACGGGAGAAGAGATCCGCATGGCAGCCTTATACCTCCGTCGTTTGGTGGGATAGATGAGATTGAGCTTTAGGGATAGGATTGGATTGGCAAAGACTTGTAAGACACGATTTGTAACCTGTGTATTAGGATATGTTAGATAACTCACTTTATCGTGAATTTACAACTCATTATGTCTAGTCTTGTCTATTACACATTTTGACACAACAAACAACGGACTAGACTCAAGTTCAAGTTCATTTCAATTGATCGCAACCTATTCAATTTGTACTTTAAATCTTTGACTCAACTCAAGATGTCAAGAACGTTTACTGTTGATCAATTAAGCATCGATTAATCAAAGCATCCGATGGAGAGATAATCAGTCAAAAAACACATTTCCTTTTTGGCTGAGTCAAACGCATTGCTTTAGAAGATTAGAACAACAATATTGACCAAGTGGGGACTCATGTTGGACTGTTTCGGGGTAACTCGACCCGAATCCATCTAATGGCCCACACGAGTTGTTCACAGATGTCGACCAACCAGTGTTGAATTGGAGCATTATTTGCACAGAAGTCGACATGCCATTGGAAGGAAGGTTTTCTTGCTAGCTTTGACAATCTCCAAATTCGTTTAGTAACGTTTTTTTGTCTTGTAATGAGAGAGAGAGAGAGAGAGAGTGTGTTAGAAATTAAATATTTAAGTGAGAAGATAATCAATTTAATTTTGTATATACAATTTTTGATGTAATTTATTTTTCCTCTTTTAATTTTTTTAGGGAACAAAAATTTTAGAGTGAGGGAAGGCTACCCATTTCAAGACTAGAGCATATTACAAGCCTTTTTGAGGACTTATCATTGGGGTCTTAGCCCTTTTTTTTTTTTACAGGTCTTTCACCAAGAAGAATTGTCTACAGGGAATTGAACTTAGGCATTGGTCTGACAAAAAGAACGATCATTACCAACTCAAATTGTAGCTTCAAGTCGTTAAGTACGTCTTTTACACGAGTTAGAACATTGGACGTACAAATTCATGCAACACTTAAAGGTATCTCTAATAAAAATGTAAAATATTTTGCATTTTTTGGTTGGCCAAAACCTAAAAAATATAAATTAAAACGTAAAGCGGAAAATGCAATGAAAACATAGTTTTTGCATCTCCCCGTTCGAGATGCTATAAAAAGGACATAAAAAATCTTTTGAATTTTATTATTTTAGAAATATTAGTATTTTAGGTAACTTTATGTTTTCTTTATTTTCTTTTCCGGGTTGGTTATGTTTTCATTGATGCTTCTTTCTTTCCAAGATCTTCAAATGCCTAATAAGATTTCGAATTTCAATTTGGATTTTCAGTTCCAAGTACAACTTATATTCACCGAATATTAATTAAATTTTAGAGTTTTCTTAAAACATTTATTCGTTCTTTCTTAATTTTAGACGCTTGCCTAATTCCTTATTTCGCATTTTCGACTGAGAATCAAAATCAAACAAAAAGATAAACAGAAACGACCAAGCTAATTGTTTTCTTTAGTTACTCAAAAATAATTAGGAAGAAAAGGAACACTGAAACAAGACACAGTAATTCATATAATTAATCGCAAATTAGCGATTAGATTCCACCTCCTAATCTCTTTCTCCCTAACATTCATTTGTCACTTTCTCTCTTTCTCTCTCCTCCCTCTCCTCTCTGTGCACCGCAAAGCAGCAAGAAAAGTCCAACACCATATAAATAAATAAACACGCACCATTGTAGCTACTTGGACTTCAAATTTCCAATCCCAAATTCCAAATCCCATCCACCAAATTCACATAAATCGAACCATCCAGACTCCAGAAACAAAACCCAGATCGTAGATTCAGAGATTCATCAGAAACATTTCAGAAATCAATCCGATGGCTGAGGGGCTTCAGAGGTCTGAGAGCACGTTTAGGAGGCAGGGCTCGTCGGGGTTGATTTGGGACGACAAGTTTCTACAGCGGGCGCTGAACCAAGTGGAGGCGGAGAAGCAGGCAGAGGCAGCTCAGCAGGCTCAGGGCGGCGGCACAGCAGCACCCACCATGGAGCGGAGCCGATCCAACGGAGGAAAGGGGTATCGGACCGTCAAAGTTTCGCCACAAGCGACGGACCCGCCTTCCCCGAAAGTCTCCGGCTGCGGGATCTGCGGCGCGTTTGGAAAACCGAAGCCGGCGTCGGCGCGTCGGCCGAAATCGAACAAACGAAGGTCGTAGAATTAATTAATTCTTGAAATTTGTACTTAAAATTTGTTAGCTGTTTCTTGTTTTAATTGGAAAAACACTGCACTGCCAAGTTTTTTTTTTTTTTTTTTAATTTTAATTTTCTAATGTTATTAGAGAATTGTGGGGGGGGGAGAAGGATTATTTAATGCTGAAAATACGGTTTGGTACATACGGTGTATTAGGATAATTAATTGAAATTTTTTTCTCGAATTTTAATCAATTATGTTATTACACTTGTGTATCGAGTCCACCGGCATACTGGAAAATTTCTGAGAAGAAGGTGTGATTGTAATGTAATGTTAAAATGTATAATTAAATACTTTTGGTGTGTCCGGTGAGCTACAGTAATATCCCATTTGAATTCTCAATTATGTTCTAATTTTTCTTAATTGTTCTTGATTATCAATTCGAAGAACCGACGAGCTCTTAAATTTTTTAGTGATCGAATATGTTCTAAGTTCGAATCTTCATTTGTATTCATAATTAGAGAATGTCGTTGAAGGGTTCACTTAGGAGTTAGCGGATACAATTGCTATACTTGGAATTATACAAATATTTCTCTAATATTCTTTTTTAAGTAATAAAACGGTAAAATGCTTGATAAAATATCCCAAAAAGATCAAGATAAGATAAGCTTTAAAAGAGCGATCGAAGTAGCGTGCCGGTTATATCTTGTTTTGGAGATATAAATTCTGAATCCGTCAGGTCACTAATCGTTGTAATAATGATGGCCACGATGGGTTCAAAGAAAGTGGGAGCTGCAAATTTGATCAATTCAACAAAGCAGGGCTTTTTTCGTAAAAGGATTTTGACTTGTTTTCAATGTGGGATAAATGAATATGATTGTATGAGCTATTTACAATATTGCCCCTTCAAGGGCGGCGCATTGCATAATGCGTCCACGCGATGGCAGCTGGCAAAGCTTATCATCTGACCTTTTTTTTTTTTGGGAAACTAGCTTATCGTCATACTTTTGTAAAGTTATAAGACCAACATATTTTTTCAGAGGGCCGATTTGTTATACCACTTTCTTTTTTTTTTTCGCAAAATATTTGTGTTTTTATGAAACTCATTCTATAATATATATTAACGATCTAAATTATTTATTTTTTAAAATATTATTTATAAATTATTTTCACAAAAAGTTAGATAAATATATAACAATTAAAACATTTATCTGTAACGAAGAAAATTAGCAAATACGGTTCTATAAGAAATTCTAAACTCTTAATCTAACGGTTGTATAGTTTTAGATTTTGGTGATTTTTTTATAGATATTATCTAAGATCTAAAAGATTGACGATTCGGATTGTTAAAGTACATTATGAAAATATGTGACAAAAATTATGTGAAAAAGTGATGTAACGGATTTGTCTCCAATTTTTTATGTTGATATAATGTCAAAAATTGTTGTGTGTTGTTGGTGTTTGGTGAGTAGCAATTAGCATTTTTTTTTTTTTTTTTAACAAATGATAATATCTACACTAAATGGTGGATGAGTGGGTTAAGTCTCATAATGAGTTGTCATAATAATGATCAATTAACATTTGACAAAAATTGAACCTAAGATCTCTCACTTACCAGCGAATAAGAATACCACTAGACCATAGTACTAAGCGGCATAAACTTTTGTTAATTCTAATGATTTTCTAATAATTATTACCTTTTGAAAATTAAGGGCCGGCCATCATATTATTCTAGTACCCGTGGACTTTTACTTAAGAGTTTTATTTTAATTTTGTTTAAGAATACCCTACAATGAAATAAGTCCTTGACATCAACGTGCACTCCCCCAAGTTTCCAACGTTCTTATGCTAAAGTGCAAGAGAAAAAGAAATTGATGTAATACGAGGAATTTTCGTGCGAATTTACTGTTTTTCGAACGAAATATGTTGTAAATGAAGAGATGTCGAAGGAGCTTAGTAGTTTTTTACTTTTTAAATAAATATTTGTACATCTATTTATAAATGATAGTTCGTTAAGAATACGCTATGGTTCAAAACTAACTGTTTATTATTTAATGAATTTTTTTTTCATTTTAATCCTCGGAATTTTCAGTATCTTAATATTACCCTCACATAAACTCGTAATTTTGCAATTTTATCAATATTTTGTGCATGTGAGCTAGTATGATTGCTTCGTTTTCTTTCTTTTACGCTTTTAAAAGGAAAAATATTAAAACTTTGCAATTTTATAAATATTCAATGCATGTGAACTATTATGATTACACTTTAAGACCAAAAGCCAGTTCTAGTACCAATTAGAGCTCAGCAATTTTTGGCCAACGATATAAGAAACATGTAATTTTAGTGCGCCAAAAATATGATCTAGTGCATCAAATGTCATAATATAAGTGGTTGAATATTAAGAAGAAAAACAAATACTTATATTTTGATACTTAATATATTAGACCGTGCTCTTAGTATACCGATAGATAACGTCTAGGTTGAAACAACCTAAAAAATAACGTGGGATTATACAAATAAATAGGACTAGTTTTGAAGAAAATTACAATTTACTTTGGTTGGTCCCCAGACACAATAATTAATTAAAAGAATGTGTGGCAAAATCGACAGCTAATCCAATTTTCTATTGGCTATTTGGCTTGCTTTTTTTTTTCGAAGTCAATAATTAATTGGGGTTTTTGACAAGAAACCAATTAGGGTTAGGGTTACGCTGAGGTCGCTTCACAGCGGGGCTTGTTGGCTTGTAAGGACACGTATGTAATAAGGATAAGGTGTATTGGATTTTGACAGTAACAACTAACATTTTCCTCTACTTAACTTCCTCAAAACAATCAATTTTCACTTTTCTAATCTATTTATTCACTATTTTTTTTTTCATTGTTGAGCTGTTAAGGATCCACACCATATGAGGATATGAGTTTTTTTCTTCTTCTGAAGATTGTTATGAAAAAAATGTAGAAGAAATTGTTAGTGGTGGGTTCAGAAAATTTTGTCAAACAGTTTGTCCCATAGCAACCATGGTGGAGTTTTAACTTCCACGAAAATTTTAAAACTTTGTAGTTAGAAGAGAATTGGAGTAAGAGCAACAACCTCCACTCGCCTTGAAATCCGCCTCTGAATATTGATGTCAAATATTTTTAAGGTCATGAAACATAATTATGATTTTTTGACCTCCAATTCCGCCTGATTACAATAAGATTAAGAGTTTAACGTGACTTAAAAAATAAACGATTCAATAATCATGAAACATTATAGGACAAAAAGACAAGGCGAAACAACATAATAAGAAAATTTAAATTAAAAAGTTGCTAGTGTTCTTCGAATTTTAAAAATTATTGTATTTGATTTATTTAGCAGTCCAAATCAAAGGGAAATGATGCGTTTCCGGAAAGACCTCGTGACTTCATAGTTGCCTCCAAAACAAGCATAGTTTCCTCGTTCCTGTATATTTAAAGGCTTAGGGATAATAAAACTGATTAATCATGCATAATCTCACCTATTATTATATGCTTGGACAAATAGAAGAAGGCAAATTAATTAGCAAATTAGCAATCAGTAGCCGCAGCAGAAGAACCTGACCGCCCCATTACGTATATTCTTATGCTTTATTAGACATATTCAACTAAACCAGCCAGCCACAAGGGACCACGAAATGGTCAGATCTCCAGACCAATCTGGCAACCCATGCTTGACTCTTAATCCCACCTTTTCTTTCTGTTTTTCTCCATACCTACTCATGATTGCTTCTCTTCTCTACTTACTTCACTAATTGTGATGTTGTTTCTCTCAAATTTTTATACAAACGACAGTCTACTTCAAATTAATCTCGACTACAAGGAGAAGGATTCAAACTCGAGAAGAAACATATCGTTCTAACCAATTTTAGCTAAACCAAAACTTCTGTTGTTTCTCTCGTACATTTTGTTAATTAATATTTAATCATTTCTTTTTTTACCTCGTTTTCGTTGTTTTGTTTCGTCGAAAGCATATAGCATCCTATGTCATGTTAATTTGCATCTCCACAAGTTTCACATGCAAGACCAGACAACCAATAAAACCCTAATTAATTAGAGCCCAACGACGTCAAAAACGATAAACTCAACCACCTGTCACATTCCTTGTTTTTCAAAACCATACATACCTTGCAGTTGAAATTTATGTTTGACCTGAAAAACAAGTCTCTCCAATGATTTATGAAAAGCTGCATAAGGTAAAAACTGAAACCCTAATCGAAAAGCTGAATGTGGTAATTAAATTATAAACTTAAACCCTAATTCAAAAGTTGCATGCAGAATTGCAGGTCATCTCTGGCTAACATGGTCCACGAGCTCAATCTAAATTATGTGGACGATATTCTACTTTAAACTAATCTAAATTACAGAAGCAATGATTTAAACTCATGTGCATAAAGGAAAGCACATCTGCTCTAACCAATGTGATTATGCCCATATTTGCTCCTTCTAGTGCTTCCACGACTTCAATATTACCATGAACCAAACTTGCAACAAAAAATTGACTATGTTTACTAATTAAGTTTTTTGAACAAAATGTCCACTAAATAATTAATTAAGGTCGAATATTTGAGATTATATATGCACACTCTAATCCAGTGTTCTTGTTTAATAATACAGTAATGATCTCAACCCACAAAAAAGAAATAAATAGTTAAATACAGACAACAATCAGTCCACAGCTTTCTGGATTTTAGTTCTAAACAAGAGAATGCACAGTTTCTCCATTGAAAAATATAGGAAGCAACCTGTTGAATGGGTCACGAACGACCCGAAACCCGAGCCCACGATACAATGCCATGCCGGCCCGTACAATTTATCAAACTCCTGCATAAATCATAGAGCCCATGATTAGTCAATGAATTTTAGTTAAGTGACTAATCACCTTGAGAAGAACTGTTATTAATTGGAACACATGGGCTGTTGGAAGCCGCTGGAACATAAACACACTTCCGATTTGGAGACAGGAGAACAACTAGTGCAGAAACACAAGTGCTGCGAATCCAGATTCATTGATTCAAGATCCAAACTATCTCATGAAATCATCTGATCAATGGGTAACCGTTGGATCCCAAGTGGCCCCATTGATAGAGAGTCAGAGGAGAAAGGCTGCCTTATAAACGAGACAAAAATCTGTCTTATAACTGATTGGTAGTTGTTGTATACAACTACGTGTTTATTTCGTCAAATATTTGTTAAGTGGCCTCATATTGATTAAGAGACCGAGAAGAGAATCTACCTTATCACCGTTTTCATGTGACTATCTTATACAAACAAAAACACTTGAGAATCTTAAATAGAAGCACCAAGAAATATATCAGATCTGGTCAGTGAATCAATCTCAATGTTTCTATCTTTATATATTCATCGAACCCATGTTGTCTGTGGGGT